CGGTATTTTTATGGGTATCACCTCATAAACAAATTTTGTTGAATTTGTTTTGTTTGTATTTGCTCATCCAGGATGTCTATAAGATTAAAATTGAAATTAATAATATGGAAATGTATAGAACAGCCGGTGGTAATGGAAAATCTGATCCAAGTTACCTTGTTCCGAAGCACCTAATCTTATATTTTTCGAAAAATATATAAAAGTTCTAAAATTAATAATAAACGCAAAAGTTAAAAGTATTAAAAAAAAAAAAATAAGTAAAAATGTAATGTTTTTTTTTTCTTCGAAAAGCTATAATATGCATATTCCTCAGTTTTTAGTGCTATTTATAGCTCATGGTTTGGCCTTCCAATAAGCATTGCACATCAAAGCGCTAAAAAGTAACTATTACAGTTCTACAACTTCCAAGCCCTGCAGCAGATTATAAAATTTATACGGATAAGCGGTTATTATAATATTAAAAAGTATGAAGTTTGCAGTGTTCCTAGTAGACGGCAACTACTCGTCTTCGGCGTTCGACTTCTCGTCGTCACCGTCGCCTTCCTCGTCTTCGTCGAACGTGTCGGTGAGTTCGAACTCTGTCGCTTCCGGTGTCGTGATCTTGATTCTGATCGAGGACAGCTGCTTAGCGATCACTTCCGATTCGCCATTGTTGTCCGCGTCCGGAGGCGTCTGATCCACCACAGCGCGTGGCCCGAGTCCCTGGAATTCGCACAGACGGACGTCGGCGTACTTGTAAGTCCGCTTTATGCGCGACGAGAGAACGCGAACGTCGATCCGTCTGGGAGAAGGGTGTTCCTTCATCATGATTTCGGCTGCGCTTAATGCCACCGAATCCGGCGAACGCACTGGTTCCGGTGCACCGTTCGCCTTGTCCGAAGAGTCCTTCACGTCCGTTGCAGCTGCAGCTGCAGCCGATGCGTTCGCCTGCTCGCCAGCCGAAGATGCGCTCTCCGGATCGAGTGATGCGCTCGCCGCGGCGGCCTGCACTGCTGCCGCACCGGAAGCTGCGGCGCCCGGAAGCCCAGGCCTCGCGAGTTCCGGCAGCATGTAGGAAGTCTCAGACTGCATCAGCTGCATGTTCATGTATGACTGCAACAGATCGCACCAGCCCCTCTCGTACGCCGTCCAAAGTCTCTCGTCCAGGCGCAATTCGTCCAGATTCAATTCTTTGATCTGCTTGGGCGTACACTGCATTATATCCGACCGAGAGAGCCCAGGAGGCAACGATCTTCTCCACTCGTCGCCACCGTCGTCTCCCTGCTGGTCGGACATCTGCAGTGCATAAAATATACAACAACTTAAAATAATACGTTTATTTATTGCAGGCGATCAAATAATGAACTTATCATCAGCGGAGGTGGTAATTAGGGGGGGAGGGGATGGTTATCATTTTCAAATTAATTTTCTACAAAGCGATCAACTTAACCACACAGTCACTTTCGGTCAATGTTTGTGATTTTAAAAATGTTTATACTGTACATCTATATGTGAAAGTAAATCTTAGTAATAAAAACAATATAATTTTTAATCTGATGATTTTTTAGGTTTTTTATCGATGTACTACAGTTTTAATCTCTGGATGTTTGTCTAAACATTTAGACTCCCGAATTGAATATCAAACGAATAATTTCTGAAACTTTTGTACTTTAAGTTATGAATTATTCAAAAGTTTAAGTGAGTGGTGTCTACGTATTTTAGTGCTCTATATCGTTTTATCGCAACGTAATTCCGAACAGCTGACTCAAATTTATAAAAATTAATAATTAATAATTTATAAATTTATTTTTTATGTTAATAAACACAAAAAAATTCTGTTGCTCTATAGTTATTGATTGATATATTTTATGCAGGTTGATCGATAGTCTGAGAATAATATTGTGATAGCAGTTTAAAAAAAATGAAAACAATAATGATAAAAATATTGTAAAAATTAGGATATTTTTGCAAAAATGTTAGGTTCCTTGAATTATATTATACATTTTTTTTTAAATCACAAACTTTGACTGAAAAAACTAATGCACTCTCTTACACAGAGAGTGACTCACCAAGCAAGCTTACCTCCATATTTTCTTCGTTAATTCATTAAAACTATTATTAGGTTTACTAACTATATGTATTAATAACTCAGAATCTGTTCAAATTTTGATTTAGATACCTACATCGAAATTTCCAAAAAAATCATCTACAGGAAAAAAGGTTGGTTTTTATTTAAAAATGAGAAGTGTATATAAACGCAGAATACTACATAAATAATGGTATGAATATTTAAATAAATATAAATTTGGCATAGCTACTCATAAATTCCAAAAATCTGAATATTAAATTCATTATTAAAGAAAACAATGGGATTGGGCGTAATTGGCGAATCACCATTTACAGTGTGAAAGAATACATTTTTTACTCATATTTTTGATTTCATAAGCTGAAGCTATAATATAATACCTTGTTCACTGTATTATTTTTAAGCTTTATAGGCATGCAGTTCTACCTGTTTACTTTCACATTTTGAATGTTTAAGTAAAGTGAAAAAATATTTGGAATAGTGTTTGACATAATAATTATACGTTAAAATCTTCAAAATAATATTTTGTTTTAATTAAATATAAAATTAAAAATTTATGTTGCAATTTGAATCTAAAAAGTACCTCGGACACAAATTATTAAAAATTTGATTTTTTTCTACGTAGAAAAATGTATAAAAAACCAAAAGAAAGGCGATTAGTACAAACGAATACGTAAAAAAAATCCCGGCTTGTTGTTATTCATTTAGGTATTGTATCATTACCGAGAGATACCAATCTATACTCAAAGTTCAAAACACAATATCTACAGCACAGTGATTTCGAGCCATCGTGATTTTAGTTTGTGTTTATATGTCTGCACTAGTCAACATTTCAGAGTTGAAAATGTACTCAAGCCTTGCTGATGTGGAGGCGATTAAAAATTAAAAAATTGAATTGTCCAGCTACTCCTTATTTCTACGTTATGATATAATATTATGCGCGTGATGCAGGTACAAAGAACAAACCGATCAATAAAATTGTTCATTAAATGGAATGAAAAATTAATATAAGTTAAATATTATTGATTTCGACATTGAAACGTTTACAAAGACGTTAATTTAAAGATATTTATATCATTAATAATGTTCAAGTTATGATTACGTTATTAAAAAAATAAAAAATAATTAAAAAACAAAAAAAAAACATAAAAATATTCTGGCGTTAAATAGGTACTTAATAGTTAAAAAAAAAAACGTATTGGTCTCAAAAAAATAATTTCACTATGTACAATTATAATAATTTTCTAGTCCGCGCTAAATCGTTTGGACAAAAAAAAAATGTATCGTAATCTGTAATCAAATCGACCCATTATATTAATCTACATGCGGATATACCCGATACCGTAGTTAGGTATTATTCAAAATCTATTATTACAATGCCACTGGATTTTCACAATTATTTCATTTATCGATCAATCATCAATATAGGTACTTAAATACAGTCGGCCGTATGCGTATAGATACAGAATGTTTCAATAATGTGACAATCATATATAGCACGTTTCCGTAATCCACGATTATGCGGTTATTTTCAGAAAATACCTATAATATATATAAGTAGGTACCAACTACCTGTATTAACGAGTAGAACACGTTTCCAGAGTTTCCGCCAAAAGTATAACTTTCCCTTTGGCTATTTTCACAAACGCCCGTTTCCGTCAGGACAATATTCCAATAGATGAGTACCATTATTAAAGCTATTACACACCATAATCGAGAATGGTAATAAAAATTATAAAAGTAAAAGATAGGTCAATTAATAATATCATAAATAATAGTTTTCTTGGTTTTTTGTAAATATTGTAAGACACACTTTTAACGAACTCGTACGCATGAATTATCAATAATAATTTTAATTTTATTCAATGTACCCTGTGAGTAGGTACAATGTATTTAATTATAAATGTATTCATCAAATGTACTGTTTTTCAACATTTCACGGTATTTTAAATAAACTAGCAACTTTTAATATTATAAATATATTTATCTAGTGAAAATGTGGAACCTGTCAATATCACATTTAACGAGAACGGGTATTGGTAGATAAGGGAAAGTACACACTTTTGGTAGAAATGGGTTAAGTTTTTTTACATCTATATACCTATATATATACGCATGGTTGTATGATGATTTAATCCAAATAATATCATTGTCGTTAAGGTACTTAACAAATAAAACACATAGGTAAAAACTCAAATAATATTTTTTTTTCAGTTAAATTCTGTTATTTAATTTTGTATTATTTATTTATCACTTAAATTATATATTATATATGTATATATACATAATTTATAATAAATAAAAAGTTTTAAAGCACAGGTCCCATAGATAAATATTAAAATACAAACAACAACTATTACCCGTAAGCTCAAATTCGTGTCGCCGCCGTTGTACGGAATGTTAAAAACTGTTGAAGGGTACCCGCATATTTGTTAAATAAATAATCATTTGACGTTTTTTAAATTAATTACAAACTATATCAAATTGCTTTGAAAATAAGAATAATATTTGTTCGATTTAAATTTTATAACAAAGCTATCAACCAAGCGGTATTATTAAAATATAGTATATTTTCCTTAATGTACTATTAGAGAATAAAAAATAGAATTTAAAAATTCCAAACAAAAAAAAAAAAATATATTAATTAAAACAACCGCTGCTCAAATGCGTAGTATAATAACGTATAGTTAAAGCATGCAGTATAATATAATAATTATGGTTACAGCTGGGAAAAAATATCACGGGAAAACAGTGTTGTTTTTATTATATTTTAAGCAGTAATGATTTATTATATATAATCTTAAATTGGTGCTTAATTTACAAATAAATGATCACCATGGAGTGCTAAAAGTGCTGTAGACTTTTTATTTGATACTCGACTGATCAGCAAAAATACAATAGGTAGGTAGTTGTTTCGTAAGGAATATATACTCACATCTACTTTTGGTCCGCGGTCCGTTGAAAATCGAACTGTCGTCTGGCTGCCCGGTAGCTTGGAAATCTTTCGAAACCGAAGTGGCGGCCGGCGGTCACGCCGACTACAAGCAAACGCTAACGGACAGAAAAAAAAAAATAAATAAATAAAAAAATAAATAAAAAAAAAAATTTGGATTAATAACGGTCGACCGGAATACGCAGGTGATGGTCACACTTGGACGTTATTGCGTTTTGTCGAACATGTCGCAAACGACGACGGACGATATTGACGAGCGAATCGAATCCGAACGCCATCGTCACGATATCGTTATAATAATAATAATAGTAATAATAATAATGTACAAACGATAATATCAGGCGGGCATAAGTAAGTATTAATAAATACGACTGTAGTTGACGTGCAGTGATTACCTTTGGACCGGAGCGGGAGGACGGCGGTTGACACGCGCTGAATGGCAGTTGTCACACAACTGACTGGCGGTACGCGGCCGATCGCCGGACAGGGCTCAGTTTTTGGTCAATTCTATATTATGTTCGGCTGGGTGGCTCGGCGGATTACTTTACTCCACACGCACACACACACACACACACACACACACACACACACACACACACACACACACACACACATATATATTATACGACCGAGTTGTTGTAGTGCGTACACGGTGCGTGGTTCACCCGCGGAGGGGAGCGAGGTGGTTAAACAAGACAGTCGTACACAATATTATTATATTACACAATCGTGTATTATTGCCGTATCCGTAGTCCGTAGTAATAATAATAATAATAATAATAATAATAATAATAATAATGATAATGATAATAATAATCGGATGGTCCTTCCGAACACGTTTTTATTTTCGTCATTATCGACTAAAATTTGATATCGCGTCGTGACGTAATGATAATAAGTTACTATGGGGTTGCGGGGATGTTGACGACCTAAGAAACACACAGAAATGGCCTAAAAAGAGTGCAAAAATGACCGGAAAACTTAAAAAAGGTCCAAAAAACTAATTAAGTAAGTGAAAAAAAATGTATTTATATTATATTGGAGACATTGGAGATATGGGTGTGACAGAGGGTGTAATGGTAATTTAAAATATGAATTATAAATTATAATATCAACGGACAATAGTATACATGTTTTACATTTTAAGATTATTACCTATATAAAACTACTGAAAATAAATCAAACTTGGGTTTAAAACTTGCTCTGATCTAAAATTTGAGAAATATGCTCCACATAGTATAAAAACTACAAAAAATGAGTTAAAATTTGAAAAAATGTTGAAAAATGTTGAAAAATAAAGAAAACAAAAAAATGCATTTATAGCTAAAAACGCATAAAATACAAAATAAAATTAGAATATTCTGCATCAAGGGAGCATGAAACAAATTTTTAGCTAGGGCAGCATTGTGTAGAATCAAAAGAAAAAAATGCAAAAGTCATCAACATTCAAACTCTAAATTAATAACAATAATAATACGAAATATTAAAATGTGAGATGATCTATTTTAAGTTGTTATGATAGACGAAGACATTTATTTTAGTTTATAAACTAATAGTATACTTATTCTTGGACGATAAACATACAACATATGGGCAGGTACTATATTAAGTAGTATTTTGATTTTGATTTCCAAGATTTTTTGGTAGGTAGGTACGTCGTTGATAACTGATATTTTGAAATCTCGCGGGTTACCGAAAATGTTTACTGCCTTCCCGAGGAATCTTCTTTCTCCACCGCAATATTGTTATACAACAGGTGCCTGCAATGATTTACACGATTTAACTCCAATTATTCATCACGTCATAAATCACGGTTTCTATAATCACTGGCGAAGTACACTATCCACACAGACTGTACAGAAAAATAACAGAGTTATCCGAATAGTCGGATTCAGATGGTTCTTCCGAATAAATTAAAATTTTTATCGGCAAAACCACGTCAAATCATGTTATAATATATCATGAGATTATCCGTACAACAGCTAGACGAAGATATTATTAGGTATATATAAACTACTATTCTCGGCCGATAAACATAACGTAATCATACTAAATAGTATTTTTATTTTAGTTTCTACGATATGTACAGGTATGTTATTATTAAAATGATTGATTTGTGACATTTGCATAAAACATGTAGATCGTCTTCCCACAGAACCGTTTTTCATCGTACACGTGCGGACGTGCGATGATTTAAATTTAATTGAATTACAATTTTACCAATCCATTACGGTGCCCACATACCTACTCAATGACCGAGTACACTCGACACCCATTAAACAACTACACAGCTGCACAGAGTTGTCGGTATATAATCGGAATTGTTCTTCTGAATAAATTAAAATTTTTATCGGCTAAATCACATACTGAATTAAATACTAAATAATACATAGTATGAGATTATCTATATCGAGCGGGTCCAACCCGCGGTCCTAATTTATACGCATTTTATAATGTGATAACTTGTGTATTATATTATTATAATACGTTTGCAATGATTATGAAATAAAATACAAATATTTTTTTCTTTTAGCGACCCCCCTAGTGTTTATAAATGTGTAAATTGCCCCGCCAATGACAAAAGGTTGGACCACCCTGATCCATTTAATAGACGGCAATATTATATAAACTGATATTTTCGGCCGATTATCATAGTATCACAGAGTTTTCTACGGTAGGCAACATTTTAACAATATGATATTGCCCACATATGATATTATAGAATATTATGTGTATGTATAGCTATTATGTAGCAGATACAAATATTAATATTTTTTGTTGGTAAGTATTTGAATTTTTTTCGAGTCTTCAAACACTTTTTATAGTAAAAAAAATGATTTGATTATCAACTTCGAGGGAAACTTCTGGCAAAAATTGTATCTAGTTGGTACATTTGAGAGGTCAAAGTGAAAGTTGTAAGTATACTTTTAAAAATAATTTGGAAAAACCAAAAAAAAATACTTACATTCGTTAACACGTCCATTACAGTGCCTATGCTTGAATGGTGGAGTACACTCGACACCTACAACTTTACAACAAAACAGAGTTATCCGTAAAATCAGATATTTGTTCTGAATAAATTTACATTTTGTTGACTAAATCAAATAATAATATTATTTATACAATACAATTATTCGATCCATTTATCCAACGCGTCGGACTTCTCTCTCTCCCTCTCTCTCTTTCTCTCGGTTTTGTCTAGTGCAGTTTGATATAAGATGACAAAGACGTTTTTGTTTTCACAGCTGCTGTTAACGATGATCAACCGTTATGCTTAAACGTCATTATGTCTATGACAGGGCAGATTTATTTATAACATTTACCTGTAATTCGGTATGGAATAAAATCGAAAAAAATTATTGTGGTCAAAGTGTTATTATTATATACATAATAATATTATGCGTTAATATTAATCTTTTCCAATATAGTCGGTTGATCACTGTTCGTAACTGCCCGTTCCGTCAGTAACAAAAATATGGACAAAAATCACCGATGTTGAGTACTTGAAATTGTCCCTCTATTTTAGATTTTGAGCCGAGTGAAGCGGAATCGAATGTATCTATTGATTTTACAGTGTGTTTATTTGTGTGTGAATGTGTAAACGATTTATAACTGATAAAATGCTTTGATTTTCTGCTCAAATGTATCTTTTCTGGTCGATAATGAATCTAGTACCTAATAAAATAATAATTTAACATATTAAATGAAATAATCTATAAAAATATAAAATAGATAAAAAAAATAAAATAAAATAGATATAATGTTAACTATTATTCTCTATCGGTAAACATAATAATATTTAAGTAATTTTTGGGTACCTATTATAGGCACCACAGGCATTAAGTGTAACATTATGTGTGAGTAAGAAAATTTTAAAGTTCTTATTATACTCGTAGGTACTTGTTTTTCATTTCTATGATTTTAAAATCATAAGTTTTTTTTAGATTTTTTTATTTTTGTGGACTCAGATATTTTTACACGTTGAAAAATGTTCAAGTGGGTTAGGCACCTAAAATAGTTTTGAATTTTTCAATAAATTGCCTATTTCAACTATGACTTAATCTATGACTAAATAACTATGACTTCAGTATGACTTAATCTAATAATTCTGTCTCGTCGGTTATAAGTATTCAACATCTGGTTTGTACTTTTATAATTAAATACGTATATTTGGTAAGAACTGGGGAGTAACAAACACATTCAAGGTTTACTTCATTATAATAATATTAAATTTTAATTTAGAACAAATTACCTAAATGGATTAGTCATAAGAGATAACTATATTTCATATTTTACTCATATCACTCAGATATCGTTCATATTCTCTTTAGCACCTACGTAGGTTTCCTACGCTTTAGGGTCTAAACCTCCCCAAAAATTTCAATAGCCCCTTGCAAACATATCATTTATATATTTAAGCTTATTCAATATTATTATAGTAGGAGTTTAGCCCCTGTCAGGCACGTCTTCAGAGACTTGCATGGGGGGAGGTCATTTTTCGAGCTAACGATAAATCGCAATAGGGGCTTAAAGAATATTCTAACCTGGAACGAAAGTTTGTCGATAAATAATCTATCATACTTACACATTATACTTAGTTTTATTAAATAAAATATTTTCGACAACAAACTCCATACTTTTTTTTTTGTTTTGAAAAATATTTCTATTATTTCATAAAATTTTGGCATACAATATTAATATTTTGGTGTACATTTAACAAGCATAAACTTGTTAAACAATCCTTCATTTTACTGTTTACAAAGATAAGTATGTGTTTAAATGTTTAAAATTAAAGTAAGATAGTAAAGAATGCGGGTGCTGACCCTTTTTAAAAACACCAAATTATATTAGACAATTATCGAAAGTTGCAATCCCGTATAACCTGTATATAAATATTTAATATATTATGAGTATATTACATCTATAGTTATATGGTTTTTTGTTTATAAACAATAATTGATGACAATAAAAACATATTATTAAAGTGATCGCTTGATCTTGAAAACGTTATAAAATTATCTTGTGGCTTGAGAAAACGTTAGTTTTCGTGGTACCGAGAATTAAATGTGAGGCTGCTGAATACTTAGGTAAATATCTTCCATTAAAATCTAAATATTTAAATTGATTTTTGTGTGGGTATTCTATAATACACAAATTAATTCCGTCTGTAGAGTAATCTTAATGACATTTTAACTCCATAAAATATTTACAAGTCGTTAAAAACTACTTCGTGTTGACCCAATTTCGTCTGGAGATAATGTAAAGTTTATTTTTCGAAATATTTAATACTTAGGGAAGAGTTTTTTTCAAACATTTGTCTTCTATGAATATTTTTAATGTTTGTTAAGAATTAATTTTAAAAATGGATTTCGTTGTTTTTATTTTAAATTATGCACTATTGTCTATTTATTGGTATTACATAATACTAACAGGTTTTATATCAAACTTTTATATTTCATATTACCTTTATTTTTTTTCACCCTACCAATAACATTAATTATTGCTGAAACGTGAACTATTTACTTTAGGGTTTTTAACGACGGGCTAGAAGGTTTTTAATTTTCGATTCCACAATCTAAAATTGAATGCTATTGTCATCATTTCTATACTACGCACATAATCAATAGGTACAATAGGTACATAGTATTGAAGTAGTATTTATTTTTTAAACTTTAAATTTAAATTAAAGATAACAGAAGTAATAGGATTTCTATCCTAACCTACCTGTCGATATTAATGATTTAGCTGCCACAAATACTCTATTCATAAAATCAATCCCATTTTGTTTCGTTTTTTACAGTTCTTCTGTACTTTAGTCAGCCTTTTTTCGACTTTCGGTTTTTAAACAACACCTTTTTTAGTAGGTATTAAATATTACTATTTATTATTGGTAGTATTCAATGTTTGATTCCATAATCTAAAACTGAATGGGCTGCGGTAAACTCTCTCGATTGTAGGGTAAACTCTCCTGGGTAAACATTATGTTTACCTGAAGTAAATATGTGAACTCTTCAGGATCAACATTATGTTTACCTGAAGGAAATGTGTAAACTCTCTCAGGTTAACATAGTGTTTACCCAAAGGAAATACGTAAGCCATCCCAAGTCATTTTCAAAACTATAATATAAATATATAATGTATTCATAACTAAAATATTGGTTATACAGATCAAAAAATAAACACCTCCAGTTTTTTAAAATCTATATGTATAAGTATTACTATAAAAATGAATTATTATGAAATTGATTTAAACTATTATTATTTTCATCTATTTTTTAATAGGCACAATTGCAGTAAACAGATTTTCTATATCAACGCTGTGGAGGAAGAGCAAAGCCATAAACACCACTTGGAAAATTTGATCAAATTAATCACAACAAGAGGAACTTTTTAAATCCATAATGCTACACTTAGCATTTTCGACTTAAGTCTGTATACAGGCCCGCGGGCCACACGTGTGGCCCTCGTTGTAATTGTATTTGGTAAATTTATAATTTGTATACAAGTCACTAAATAAGTTAGTATTTACTGGAAACTGCGGATTAAAACCTTGGTTGTAGGTATTTTGTTTAATGAACGAGCCTGAGAGTTATGAACTTAAAAATGAATAAATTTGATATGACTTTAACACTGTATACATATTAGTTCAAAATAAAATAAGGTATAGGTATTCAAACTGTGGCCCTTGAAAAATGTATATTTATTTGTTGGCTCTTGACATCAAACAGGTTGCAGATCCCTGCAGGAATGTATGTCTTACTACACAGAACACACTCAACTATGAGGGCTGATTAAAATTGTTTTTAAAAATAGATTGCTTTAGTATTTGATATTAGAAATTTAATTATAATATTAATTTAATAATTCTTTAAATACTTCCAATTTCAGCTTTAGATTATAAAAATGAAAATAAATGGAAGTATTTATTGTTGTTTAAATATCATAAGTCGATACTCCGTGGTATTTTTATTAACGAAATGCAAAATGATAGAGACAATACTTGTTTAAAAATGTATACAATTTTAAGGTGAAAATCTCAATAATTTTTCCAAAATGTTTATACTTTTCAAAATAATAAGCATGTTTTACGTTAAGAAAACTACCATGTTTATAAATACAATGATATAATACATTGATATTTTATTTTAAATTCTGAGTGGATCTAAGAATAGGTGAACAAAATGGATTTTCAATAAAATTATATTTGTTTGTTTCTTTGAGTCTCTCATCACATTTTTGATTAGTAAAACTGTTTCTGCCTTTTTATGTTCCTGGTAGCGAATTGGATTTAGTTGAAGTGGTGGTTCAAAAGTAAAAAGTATACACTTCCTGGAAATTTTCTTAACAATCTATAATAACAGTCTAAAATAAAACAGTGGAAAAATGGAAAAACGGAAATATTTTTATTTTTTATTTTTTGTTATTTTTCAAATAGAAATAACCGTAGAGAGCAGATACTTGCATTGATCACCAAATAAGAAGGTATTAAATATAGGAATTTTGTACACAAGAAATAAATGTGAATATTTGAATATACAAAAATTATATTGGACTTATATAATACATATCAATGATTAGGTAGGAAATTGGATCTAGTTATAGTATTTTGAAGGATAAAAAAATAGATACCTATTTAAAACAATAATTCGAAAAATGTAATATTTACATCACATTCATTTTTGACAAAATCTATAGATGAAATTCAAAATGAATAACTGAAGGTACTTAAATTTTTTTTAAGCTTTCGGAATTCACATTTTGACGAAATTGGTTATTAGAACAAATAAAAAAAGATTTTAGTAATTTATTTTGATGTTGTCTATGAAATATTACTCATTGGTACTTGAACATTTTTGCTATTACGTTCGATATTATTGTAGCTAAGGCTCGAAAGTAAGTAATAGAAGCTATAAGAGGCAAATTATACTCAAAACAATCCTTAAATATGCTGTAAAAAAATGTTAAATAATATGCAAAAAAGTTAATATATAATATGCATACAAATTATTTAAGTTTCCAAAAAAAATTCTTATAGAAAATATGGAAAATATATTTATAATTTTTGAAACGCGGTGGAAAATTGTTTGGCATTTCGACATTTTATTGAATTGAAAAAATTAATTGAAAAATATGTATTCAGTATTTGTAAAGTTAAATGCGAAATAAACACATGTTTGATAATACCTTTCAAGTTGTTGCATTCAACCTTCAATATATTTTTAAGATGATTTTCTAAAGAAATTCTCAGTCGACTGCGATAATAACAATGAATGCCCACGTTAAATAAAATATTGAGTTTTATATTCAATGCTATTTAAAATACAAGGTTTAGAAAGAAAAACTTCATTTTTTTTTAGAAAATATTAAATATGCTTAATATACGCATGACAATAAAGAAATAATCAGTTTTCCCTCAAATCGACGAAGTATACAAAATAAACATTTTCGATTTTCAAACTCACCATTGTATCCATAACTTGTATTTCTAGCTTGGTATGCTAAACTTTTCTAAACATAATGACGTAGGCATCCGCAGAATCAAAATTCGTACTAGTAGTTTTTGGATAGCTTCACTCTTTATACTAAAGATAACAATTATAGGTCCCTACCTAATTGCTTGATGTGAATCTCTCTGTTTACAAACGAACAAATAAATATT